TAAATAAATGTATATTTTTTAATTTAGAGTTTATTTCAGGGCCAGAGTGATAGTCCAGTGGGTAGGGTTTTTGCCTTACGTGCAGCCGAACCGGGTTTGAACCCTGGCATCCCACATGACTCACTAAGCAATGCCAAAAGTAATTGCTGAGTACAGAGCCAGAAGTAACCCCTGAGCATCGTCAGGTGTGACCAAAAAAGCCAAAAGGAAAAAAATATATATATCTTTCTTTCCCTTCTCTCTCTCTCTCTCTCTCTCTCTCTCTCTCTCTCTCGTTTTCCTTTGGGGGAGGCACACCCATTCATGCTCAGGGCTTACTCTTGGCTCTGTGCTCAGCAATTACTTTTGGCATTGATCAGTGAGGCATTACTGCTGACAGGGCTGAGGAGACAATAAGGTGCCAAGGATCGAACCCGGGTTGGCCAAGTGCGGGTTCGATTCCCAGCATCCCATAGGGTCCCCCGAGCACTGCCAGGAGTAATTCCTGAGTGCAGAGCCAAGAGTAACCCCGGTGCATCACCAGGTGTGACCCAAAAAACAACAACAACAACAACTAATAATAATAATAATAATAATAAAGACTTCCCCAGCTACCAATAAAGGTCCTTTGCTTTTGCGTTCTCACATGTGGAACTGGTCTCTCCGCGAACCAGAAACCCTAAACCCGGGTAGAACAGGGTCACACCTGGCTGTGCTCAGGCCTTATCCTAAAAGAAAATATAAAGGAAGCTTATTTTCTAGCTGATTGAACTGTGTCATTCCAGAAGTCCACTGAACTTCCGGCAAGAGTCGGAAAACCAGGAACTGCAAAATCAGGAACTGCAAATAGAAACGATGGGCTGAGGTCCTAAAGGGAATGTGGTTAAAGGGGCTGACTGGCAGTTTTATGGACTTCTGCTGTAACCGCTTTTTCCGGCTTCTGAAACAGGGCTTGATTTGCTCTGTTTGCATGAACTTGCTGGACACCAGCGTGTGGGTCGGATGGGCCAAACCAAACCAATCTTGCAGATGCTTACAAAAGTTCTTGGGGCAGCAGGTTGAGCTTTTTCCCAGTAAAAGGCCAGTGCTTCTGCTTTGAGGACACTGCTCTACCCCAGTAGGATAGCCCACCAGTGGGGGTCAGTAAAGACTTCTCCAAACTCTAATTTTTTTTTTTTTTGGCTTTTTGAGTCACACCCAGGGATGCTCAGGGGTTACTCCTGGCTCTGCACTCAGGAATTATTCCTGGAGGTGCTCAGGGGACCATATGAGATATTGGGGATTGAACTTGGGTTGGCCCATGCAAGGCAAACACCCTATCTGCTGTCCTATCATTCTGGCCCCCAAACTCTAACTCCTTTGTTCTGTGGAGTCGCAATTCAAGTTTGCTGACACATGGGTGGTGATTCCGCCAAGACTCCGGGCCCCTGGACAAAACTTCAATAGATCCTTGCGCCAGTCCCAGGAACTGGGGTGTTGGTGTCCCCACACCACACGTATCTCACTGGAGCCTCCAAATGTTGTGAGGTCATGATCAAAGGACCAACAGAGGCAAAAAAAAAAATTAGATTTTAGAGGAGTCTTTGTTGACACCAGCCAATGGGCTGTTCTGCTAGGCCAGAGAAGGCTTTAACCAGCCAAGCGCACATCCTGTTGCCCGGAGTATTTTCAGAAGCGTCTGAAAACAAGCAGGTTACAGAAGCAAAAGAGAAGAGCACAGAAGTTCAATTTCTAGCTTTTTGAGGAATGCCCATATTGTTTCCCAGAATGGCTGGAGCAGTCGGCATTCCCACCTACAAAGGAGGAGAGTCCCTATCTCCCCACATCCATGCCAGCATTGGATGTTCTTGTTCTGTGCCAGTCTCTGTGGTGTGCGATGATTAGCTCATTGTTATTTTTATTTGCATCTCCCTGATTAGTGATGCAGAGCATTTTTTCTTGTGTCTTTTGGAAACGACCCATGTGCCCGAGAACAGACGACAAGTTAAAGAAACTATGGTACATCCACACAATGGAACGCTATGCAGCAGTTAGGAAAAATCAAGTCATGAAATTCGCTTACAAATGGATGAACATGGAGAACATCATGCTGAGTGAAATGAGTCAGAAGGTGAAGGACATAGAATGACTGCATTCATTTGTGGAATATGAAAAAACATAATATGAGACTAATACCCAAGGATAATACAAAGGTAAGGAGGATTAGTCCATGGTTAGAAGCCTGCCTCAAGTGCTGGGGGAGAAGGCAATTGGGAAAGAGAAGGGTCCATTATGACAAAGATAGTTGGAAATGATCCCTTTGGATAGGAACTGCATGCTGAAAGTGTTAGGATCCCGTATCCAAAAGACCACACAAAGCGATGAGCTTTATAGTATAAGACTTTATTTGGCACAAGTCAAGCAAGCATCAATCTTTAAAAGCAGAGTATTGAGTACAGAAGGCTGACCGGTCAGGGCCGCCCCCTCTAGTTAGAGAGTGACCCCCCCTCCTTTGTTCTTGCACCCTTTATAGCTGTGATTTCATTTCTGCAAGTTGCCCAATTCTTGGTAGTCTAGCTAATTTCCTGGCAACCTTTTACTTGATTGGCCGCCTCTAGCTGGTTTATTTTGGGCAAGTGCTGTGTCAAACTCCTATTGGTTGTTATCATCTGGGGGTTCCTGTCTCATGTCCTTCTGAGGAAGGACCAACAGCTGGTTTCCACATCCTGCTGGGCATCAGGGTTTCTAATTAACTCTGTAATCCTGAACCATGGTCATGCTGTGCAAATCTTTCACTAAGCAAGTTTTGGGTACAGAATGACTGCTACTTAGAAAGGGTGGTGCGGGACTGGAGCGATGGCATAGTGGGTAGGACATTTGCCTTGCATGCGGCCGACCCAGGTTCGGTTCCCAGCATCCCGTAGGGTCCCCAGAGGACTGCCAGGAGTAATTCCTGAGTGCATGAGTGAAGAGCCAGGAGTAACCCCTGAGCATTGCTGGGTGTGACCCAAAAGCAAAAAGAAAACAAAACAAAACAAAAACTAGAAATGGTGGTGCTTGTACTGTCCTCAATAAAATCTATCTTATCTGGCAGTATTGGGGAGGGACCCACAAAAGCAAAGGAACAAACATAATAACCTCTCAGTATCTGTGTTGTAGACCAGAATGCCCAGAAAAGGGGGGGTGGAAGGTGGTGGGAACAGTGGAGAGAAGGAAAGTGCCTGCCATAGAGCCATAAGGAAACTGGGGACATTGGTGCTGGGAATGGACATGGGACACTGGTGGAGGAAGGAATGTTGGAACGTGGTAGGACTGAAACCCGACCGTGAACAGCTTTGTAACTGATCATGAACCCAATCATGAGCAGCTCTGTCTCCTAGTGATTTGATTTTAAAAAATAAATTAAAAAAAATATTTTTTCTTTTTTGAGCCACACACGGCAATGCTCAGGGGTTACTCCTGGCTCTGCACTCAGCAATTACTCCTGGCAGTGCTTGGGAGATCCTATGGGATGCTGGGGATCAAACCCGGGTCAGCCTCATGCAAGGCAAACGGTCCTCCCCACTTGTACTATCGATCTGGCCCCCCAAAATATTTTTTTTTCATTTTGGGTCACACCCGGTGATGCACAGGGGTTTCTCCTGGTTCGGCATTCAGGAATTACTCATGGCAGTGCTCAGGGGACCATATGGGATGCTGGGGATCGAACCTGGGTAGGCTGCATGCAAGGCAAATGCTCTACCCGCTGTGGTATTGCTCCAGCCCCATCAACACAAAATTTAAAAAAAAAAAAAAAAAAAAAAAAAAGAGCAGCTAGCTAAGCATGCATCCTGCCCAGAGTTGCAACTCAGGCTGGGACTTATTTCTCAAACCCTATCCTTGAAAACAGGTGGTGAAAGCTCCTTTGTTCTGGGAACAGGCCCGTCAATTCCCAGGCCTCTTTGTGTGTCAATTTCTCCCTTGTGTCTGGGTATTGAATTTCCTGATTTTAACACTAGTGGAAATAAGGAAGCAAAGAAACAGAGACAAACGCAGGATGACAGGCTTAAGGGCAAGCCAAATTTGAGAATGGCATCATTTGAAATTGTGTTGCTTTTCTGCCCCCTGCCGGTTCCAACGGGGAAGGGCAGATCTCTGGTTTCTTCTGAAGACTGCCAAGGGGATCCCCTACCTTGGAAAACAGTACGCATAAACATGCCATCGTCTGCTTGTAATTTCAAAAGCACTTTGGAACCCCTGCAGTGTAAAGTATTGGGCTTAGAAGAACATATTACTGACTCAGGTATGTTTCTTCCCCCAGAAAAACAGTGCACATAAGACACGCAATATTTTGCTTGTAATTTCAAAGTTATTACGGAATCCCTGCAGTGTAAACTATTGGATTTAGAAAAACATTATTACTGTCTCAGGAATGTTTCCCGGGGTCGGAGCAATAGTACAGCGGGGAGGGTATTTGCCTTGCACGTGGCCGAGGCAGGTTTGATTCCCAGCATCCCATAGGGTCCCCAGAGCATCACCAGGAGTAATTCCTGAGTGCAGAGCCACGAGTAAACCCTGAACATCGCTGGGTGTGACCCAAAACACAAAACAAAAAAAATAAATAAAAGAGAAGATTTACCCTCCAAAAACTCCTCTGGCTACCCCACTTTTTCTTTTATTTATTTATTTATTTATTGCTTTTTGGGTCACACCCGGCAATGCACAGGGGTTCCTCCTGGCTCTGCACTCAGGAGTTACTCCTGGCTGTGCTCAGGGGACATATGGGATGCTGGGAATCGAACTCAGGTCGGCCGCGTGCAAGGCAAGCGCCCTACCCGCTGTGCTATCTCTCCAGCCCCTCTTTTTTTTTTTTTTTTTTGGCTTTTTGGCTTTTTGGGTCACACCTGGTGATGCTCAGGGGTTATGTCTATCTCTGCATCAGGAATCACTGCTGGTGATGCTCAAGGAACCTTATGGGATGCCAGGGACCTGGGTCGGTCACGTGTAAGGCAAACACTGTCCCTGCTGTTCAGCCAAGGCCCCCAACACCCCTTTCTGACGTCCTACCCACACCCACACTCATCCACGACCATGTTCTCGTAGTGTCGGAGGATGACATTGTCATCGTTGTCCTGGTAGAGCATGGAGATGGGGGAGAGCTTGGTGGGGATGCAGACGGCCGGGGGGACCGCGGGGTCCACTGTGTGCATCAGCGCCTGCATGAAAGCATAATTGGAGCTGTTGAGGGAAGTGGTCAGGGAGAAAGGACAGTTCCCGTGGCAGTAGTTGGCCATGAACCCCTTGGGGGCGATGATCCACTTGTGCCAACCCAGGTCCCGGAAGTTGATGAACAGCTGGTGACGGTGGCAGAGATTCTTGCAAGAAGCCTGGGGGGCAGGGAGGGCCCCCCGCCTTTTCCTGGAAGGTGGGGGGCACTGCTCCGGGTTGAGGACCACCATCAGCAGGTAGGCGTGAAGAGAACGCTTCAGCCTCTCACACGTGTCGTCCGTTGGAAACTCCACCCCCTCGTCCGCGTCTTTCCTGACCAATATCTGGAGGAACAAGCTGATGTTTCTCAGAGGGGCGCGAGTCCCGTGCTTAGCCTCCCTGAGTAGGTTGAAGTAAATCTCCCCTTGGGGCCTGGGCACCGACTTCCATGCCAACGTTTTAGCAGTGGACGGACCCCCACCGGGGGGCTCCTGGACCAAGGACAGGCCCAACTCGAGTTCTGGGCCCACAGGGTAGTAAGTGTTAGGGCCCAAGTGCAGGCCCAGCTGGGCCATGGTCAGCTGCTCCGTCTCCTTAATCGTGGACAGGTTAAAGTGGAGGAGTTTCTGCAGGCAGGAGTTGGCTTGGGGCAGGTTCTCGGAGGAAGGCAAGAAACCTAAAGGAGAGAGGAATAGAGGGAGAGTCACTGGAATATTGCGGGGGAAAAGATTATCCAAGAAGGTTTTGGGGGGCTGGAGAGATAGCACAGCGGGTAGGGCGTTTGCCTTGCACGCGGCTGACCTGGGTTCGATTCCCAGCATCCCATATGGTCCCCTGAGCACCGCCAGGAGTAGCTCCTGAGTGCAGAGCCAGGAGTAACCCCTGTGCATCGCCAGATGTGACCCAAAAAGCAAAAAAAAAAAAAAAGAAGTTTTTGGTTGTTGTTTTTGGTTTTTTTGGGTTACACCTGGCAATGCTCATGGGGTTGACTTCTGGCTCTGCTCTGGGGAATTACTCCTGACAGTGCTCAAGGGACCATATGGATGCCGGCGATCGAACCAGGGTTGGCCATGTGCAAGGCAAATGTACTATCCACTCAAGCCCCTACACAAGTCTTTTATTGGGGGGAGGGGGTGGTCACAACCCGCGATGTTCAGGGGATACTCCTGGCTCTGCACACAGAAATCACTCCTGGGGCTGGAGCGATAGCACAGAGGGTAGGGCGTTTGCCTTACACGCAGCCAACATGGCCAACACAGGTTCGATTCCCAGCATCCCATATGGTCCCCCGAGCACTGCCAGGAGTGATTCCTGAGTGCATGACCCAGGAGTAACCCCTGAGCATTGCCGGGTGTGACCCAAAAAGAAAAAAAAAAAAAGAAATCACTTCTGAAGTTGCTTGGAGGACCATATGGGATGCCGGGGACTGAACCCGGGTTGGCCACATGCAAGGCCCCTACCTGCTGCGCTATCGCTCAGGCCCACATCCAAGAAGCCTTGAGCACACTTGTTTGCCCAATTGAAAAGCTTTTACTGAGCCTGAGAAGAGGGTCTCAGTACAACGAACAGCCCCAAACGGAAGTTCAAGACAAGTTTTAAACTTTCCTTATCCCATTCTGCCTGGCTACATCAATCAACTTTATTTCGCTGAAGCAAGCAAGCACAGATACAGTACACTTAAGGCAAAGCTTGAATGGTTCAAAATTTGTTTTTTTTTTCTTCCTTTTGGGTGACGATAGCACAATGGTAGGGCGTTTGCCATACACGCGGCCAACATGGCCGACCCGAGTTCGATTCCTCCGCCCCTCTCGGAGAGCCCGGCAAGCTACCGAGAGTATTCGATATGCCAGACACAGTAACAACAAAGTCTCCAATGGAGACGTTACTGGGCCCGCTCGAGCAAATCGACGATCAACGGGAGGGCCTTTACCTTTTACCTTTACCTTGGGTGACACCCAGTCAATGCTCAGAGGTTACTCCTGGATCTACACTCAGAAATTACTCTTGGTGGTGCCCAGGGGACCATATGGGATGTTGGGGATAGAACCCGGGTCAGGCACATGCAAGCCCTACCCGCTGTACTATTGCTCTGGCCCAAGAATTCTCTTTATATTGTTTATTCCAACAAAACTTGAAGAAATAACAAATAGAACGATCAGAAATTAAGGGCTGGAGCCGTACATACAGCAGGGAGGGCATTTGCCTTGCAAACTTGTTGGATAACATTTGTTTGTCTTTGCTGCTCTTGCAGGGAGTGTAGGCTTATTGAGTTACTCCCACCACAGTGCTCCCGAGGCACACCCAATTCCATCAGGCACTCACAATCCTATATTGCTTTTCTCTTCCCTTTATGTCCTTTGCATGGCTCAGCCATGTCCTTTTTGTATAGATACGGGAAGACAGTTGATGCTATGCTTTTGTAACATGGGAGTTAATTGATTCCACATAATATTTACTCCTGGGGCCAGAGCGATAGCACAGCGGGTAGGGCATTTGCCTTGATGCGGCCGACCTGGGTTCGATCCCCGGCATCCCATATGGCCCCCCAAGCACCGCCAGGAGTAATTCCTGAGTTCAGAGCCAGGAATAACCCCTGAGCATCGATGGATGTGACCCAAAAAGCAAATAATAATAATAATAATAATATTTACTCCTGGGCATCCATCATATTTACTTGACTTAAACCTCAGTTGCCCTTACTTCCTAACACCCCCCCAAATGGAGGGTCCCAGCGACGGACAAGGATGGACGGAAGGTAAACTGTAAGTTACCCTGGCATCGAAAAGATTAACTTAGCGTCATGGGAAGTATAGTAAGTTAAGAGTACAGTCATGGGAAAACCCTGGCATGACCCCCAAAAAATGTAATTGAGGGGCTGGAGCAATAGCACAGCAGGTAGGGCATTTGCCTAGCATGTGGCCGTCCTGGGTTTGATTCCCAGCATCCCATAGGGTCCCCCAGCACCGCCAGGGGTAATTCCTGAGTGCAGAGCCAGGAGTAACCCCTGTGCACCACTGGGTGTGACCCAAAAAGCAAAAAAAAAAAAAAAAAGTGATTGAATAAGGACCCTGCTGAGGTTAGGAAAAACTAATAAACGGGCCTGAGGACTGTAGTCTGGGATCCATAGAGAGATGGTCCCAGGAAGAGCCTCCTTTAAGCTTAATATGTCCTTACTGTGTTCATACAAAATGACTAGAAATATTAGTCACTGTCACTGTCCTTCAGTTGTTCATCGATTTGCTCGAGCGGGCCCAATAATGCCACCATTGTCAGACTTGTTGTTACTGTCCTCCCGTTGTTCATCGATTTGCTCGAGCAGGCCCAGAAACGTTCCCATTATGAGACTTCTTGTTACTGTGTTTGGCATATTGAATACTCTCAGTAGCTTGCCAGGCTGTCCGAGGAATCGAACCTGGCTCAGCCGAGCTGGCTGCGCGCAAGGCAAACGCCCTACCGCTGTGCTATCCCTCCAGCCCTTTGTGTTTGGCAAATCTAATATGTCACGGGTAGCTTGCCAAGCTTTGCTGTGCAGGCGAGATACTCTTGGTAGCTTGCAGGGCTCTCCGAGAGGGGAGAAGAAATTGAACCCGGGTTGGCCGGGTTGGCCACGTGCAAGGCAAACGCTCTACCACCGTGCTATCGCTCCAGCCCCAGAAATATTAGTAAGAAATAAATTTAATATGATTGTTTAAATGGATTACTAGCTAAGGAAAAGAAAAAGTAATACACCTTGAGATGGAATCCCGCCCTTGAGCAGATCTCCTATTAATCTAGAGAACCGAACCCCCAGATGAGATTTTGTCTTTGAGTTAATCTCCTAGAAGAACTTCCTCTGAAGGAAGGGCTTTCCATCTGTTTGTTGTAATAATAATGTTCAACCACACCTATGTGTACTCCCACCCTTCACAATTTCTATATAGTTCATGCTGTGAAATACTAATAAATGGTCACTGACTACCAACCAGCCTCTGGCCCATTCTTTCATTTGTCCATCGCTATGGGTCAGCTGGCCGGGGAACAATTCTTGGCCACCAACACTTTGAACTTACAACACTGGTAGTGTTGGAACACTAAATGCTTGAAACAACTGCAGAATGAAAAATGTTTTGAATCACGGTGTTTTTAATAAAAATTTATTTTAAAAAATTTCTACTTGAAAAGTAAATCATCCAACATTTCTCCCTGAAAAATCAGGTTTAACTCTTTTACAAACCAACACCCAATAGGAGAGAGAGAACAAAAAGGAATGCCCTGCCACTGAGGCAGGGTGGGATGGGGGTGTGGGGGGTGGGAGGGATACTGGGATCCGTGGTGGTGGGAAATGGTCACTGGTGGAGGGATGGGTATTCAAAATTAATTAATTTTAAAAAATAAGGAAAAGGAAAAAAAAATTTCTACTTGGGACTGTAGACCAAACGTGTTGGTCACTTACTATCTGCACTGCAAACCATAACACCCGAAAGGAGAGAGAGAGAGAGAGAGAGAGAGAGAGAGAGAGAGAGAGAGAGAGAGAGAGAGAGAGAAAGGGAATAAGGGAATGTGTCTGGTGGGCTGGTGGGGGGGATGGGGTGGCGGGAGGGATACGGGGAACATTGGTGGTGGAGACTGTGTACTGGTGGAGGGATGGGTACTCGATCATTGTATGACTTAAACGTAATCACAAAAGTTTTTAAGTCTGTAACTGCACATCATGGTGATTCATTAAAAAATAAAAATACATATATTTAAATGTACACCTCATTTCTCCTAAAATATTTTGTTTAGTCTGCTTTTGCTAGACTTTTTTTTTAAATTTTTTTGAGTCACATCCGGTGATGCACAGGGGTTACTCCTGGCTCATGCACTCAGGAATTACTCCTGGCGGTGCTCAGGGGACCATATGGGATGCTGGGAACCGAACCCAGGTCGGCCACGGGCAAGGCAAGTGCCCTACCCACTGCGCTATCACTCCAGCCCCTGATGAACTTTTTTCCACTCTGAAGAAGCTCAGGTCCTCTCTGAAATTTGTATCTCTCTATTCCTTCAAATCTCTTTAAGGAAATTTCTTTAAATAAAACTATTTTGCTACACTAAAAAAAAAAAAATTCTACTTAAAGAACATGGTGTGACAGCTCCCTAGTTTGGACTTGGATTTCCCCTGGTGGTGTCTAGGGGACCCATATACAGTGTTGAAGATCAAAGGCTGGTTGGTCGCCTGCAAGGCCTTACCCTTTGTACTATTTCTCCAGCAGCTTTCCCGAGATCTGATTATCTGTTGCATCCTATGTTATTGATCATATTTCACATATTTTTACGAACACATTTCAGTGTTCAGTTGATTTCTCTTAAAGCTCGAAATATTTTCTTTTAGGTTTGTAAACCATTAATCTGAGGAGGAACCCAGTGGTGTTCACAGAACTCCCTTAAGGGTCCACCATACAAAGGTCTATAATAACATCGGCGGGAGAGACAGTACACAGAGGAATACAGGTTACGGTGGCCGCAACAGGTCAAGCTGTGGCCACTACCCTAGTTTGAATCCCAGCACCTACAGGCCCGATCCTGACTCAGAACCAGGAATAAGCCCAAAGCACCACTGGGTGTGTTCTGCCACCAAAAAAGAAAACAAAAGGGGCTGGAGCCAGCAGGGAGAGTGTTTGCCTTGCACGCAGCCAACCTGGATCGATACCCGGCTTCCCATATGGTCCCCCAAATACTGCCAGGGGTGATTCTGAGCAGTCAGGAGTAACCCCTGAGCATCGCTGGATGTGAGCGCCCCCCACTAAAAAAGGAAAGAACGAAAAGAAAAGAGAGAAAGAGGGAGAAAAAGAAAAGACAGAGAAAGAAAAGACAGAGAAAAAGACAGAAAAGAAAGAAAGACAAAAGATGAAAGAAAGAAAGAAAGAAAGAAAGAAAGAAAGAAAGAAAGAAAGAGAAAAATAATGAGGGAAGGAAAGAAAGAAAGAAAGAAAGAAAGAAAGAAAGAAAGAAAGAAAGAAAGAAAGAGGGAGAGAAAGACAGAGAGGGGCTGGAGCAATAGCACAGCAGGTAGGGCGTTTGCCTTGCATGCAGCCGACCGGGGTTCAATTCCCAGCATCCCATATGGTCCCCTGAACACCACCAGGAGTAATTCCTGAGTGCAGAGCCAGGAGGAACCCCTGAGCATCGCCAGGTGTGACCCAAAAAGAAAAAAAAAAAGAGAGAGAGAAAGAAAAGAGAGAAAAAGACAGAAAGAAAGAAAGAAAGAAAAAAAAGAAAGAAAGAAAGAAAGAAAGAAAAAGAGAAAGAGAAATGCAGGTAAAGGGATATACAGGACAACCTTCAGTACCTGTATTGCAAATCACAATGCCCAAAAGGGGAGGAGAAGGGGAAGTTCCTTCCCCAGAGGCAAGCTGGGGGGTGGGGTGGAGGGTGATGGGGAGGGAACCTGGGGACACTTAGTGCTAGGAAAGGAACAATGGTGGAGGGCTGGTGTTGGAACACTGCATGACTGAAACCCAATCATGAACAGCTTCATAAGGGTCTATCTCACAGTGATTCCATTAAAAAAAATTATTAAAGAAGTTAAATTTGGGGGGCTGGAGCAATAGCACAGCGGGTAGGGCGTTTGCCTTGCACGTGGCCGACCCGGGTTCGATTCCCAGCATCCCATATGGTTCTCTGAGCACCACCAGGGGTAATTCCTGAGCACAGAGCCAGGAGGAACCCCTGTGCATTGCTGGGTGTGACCCGAAAAGCAAAAATAAATAAATAAATAAATAAATAAAAATAAATAAAATGCCTATTGTGGGGAAAGACAGTACAGTGGGTAGAGTGCTTAAAAAAAAAAGAAAGTTAAATATTTAGGGACTGGAGTGATAGCACAGCGGGTAGGGCGTTTGCCTTGCATGTGGCTCGACCTGGGTTCAAGTCCCAGCATCCCATAGGGTCCCCCGCGCATAGCCAGGAGTAATTCTTGAGTGCACAAACCAGGAGTAACCCCTGTGCATCACTGGATGTGGCCCCAAAAAGCAAAAGTAAATAATAAATAAATAAAAGTTAAATTTTTTAAGAAAGGGAAACGCGGGGCTGGAGTGATAGCACAGTGGGTAGGGCGTTTGCCTTGCGGCCAACCTGGATTCGATTCCCAGAATCCCATATGGTCCCCTGAGCACCGCCAGGAGTAACCCCTGTGCATCACCAGGTGTGACCCAAAAAAAAAAAAAAAAAAAAAAAGGGAAACTCAAGGCCAGAGCAACACCCTGGATTTCTGGCTCTGCATGCAGGAGACTCACCAGATTCAATCCCTGGACCCATAAAGCAGCAGCGAGAACCACCCCAGAGCACCTAACCGAGAGTAAGAACCCGAGGAACACCACTGGATTTGGCCTATTGACGTTAATAACAGAGATGGAATCCTCCTTTTTGCAGGGCTGGAGAGACAGTACAGCGAGCAGGGCGCTTGCCTGGCATGCAGCCACCCCAGGTTCTATTCCTAACATCCCATTTCCCTGAGCACCACCAGGAGTAATCCCTGAGTGGGGCAAAGCTAGGAGTAAACACTGAATGCCCCTGAGTGAGAGAGAAATAAATCCTTCCACTGGCAACAAGATGGATAAACCCCGAACTAGGATATTATGTTCAGGGACACAAGCCAGAGAGCTGCAAACAACAGATGGTTTTACTTATATGTGCAAAGTAAACAAAACTGATGAGCAGAAAAAATACAAAGAAACTCTGAGCCAATGAGAACTAGATTCTGTTAACCAGAAGAGGGGAAGGGAGAGGGTTAATTGAGTAAAAAGTGTGAGATGTGGCGCCCAAGAAACAGTATAGGGGGTAAGGGGGGTGTTGCTTGTCTCTGCTGGAGTTCCATCCCCAGCATCCCATAGAGCACCACCAGGAGCGATTCCTGAGCACAGAGCCAGGAGTAACCCAAGCACTGTCATGTAGCCCGGTCCCCCCCTGCCAAAACGTTTTCTCTCATGGAGGGATGACAGGGAAGGGTAAAGGTGTGTGTGACCTTTGCTCTTTTTCCAAACTGTATTCTCAGCAGTTTTCTCCTCTCCAAGGAAGACCCTTTAAAAGGTCCCCTCCCCCCCCCCCACCCCTCCCAGGGCTGGAGCAATAGCACAATGGGTAGGGAGTTTGCCTAGCATGTGGCCGTCCTGGGGTTGATTCCCAGCATCCCTTATGGTCCCCCAGTGTCGCCAGGAGTAATTCCTGAGTGCAGAGCCAGGAGGAACCCCATTGCATCGCTGGGTGTGACCCAAAAGGCAAAAAAAAAAAAAAGAGTGCTTCCCCTTCCTCTTAATCTTTCAGCAGAAAATTTCCCTGAACTTCTACCCACAAGGTTGAGCATTTTGCAGACTATCTCCTCTCCTCTCTCTCTCCCTCAAATCTTCATTAATTAATTTGTGTATTTTATTGTTTCGGGCACACACACACACACACACACACACACACGACGGCGGCCTCGGGGGGACAAAATGGGATGCTGGGGAATTGAACCCGGGTCGGCCGCGTGCAAGGCAAATACCCATCCCTGTCTGTATCTTAAAGGACAAGTTTCATCTGGAATCTATATCCTTGTGACTCTCCACTGGTCCCAGAACATAGCAGTTTCTCAATAAATCTTGGACATATAAGTAAGACATATCCAAGTCCAGATGCCACAAAGCCAACTAACTAGAGCTGACATGTTTTGTTTTGTTTTGTGAGCACACCCAATGGTACTCACTAGGGGCGGTGCTGGGGGGACCATAAGCAGGACCAGGGGGTGAACCCACATCAGCCGGGATCAGGGTGAGTGTCCGGCCACGTGCTCTACTTTTCCAGACACCTTTCAATTTTGCCTGGAAAGCTCTTGGGAGTGTGTATAGAAATGCAGATTACACTTGCAAACCTGCATTTTGACTTTGAATAAGAATTGGGTGGAAGTGGGAGGGGCAGGCCTTGGGAGGTGGGGTGGGGGGGCGTCTATTTTTAACCGAGTCTCCCGCAACTTTGACGGTGGGTCAATTAGGTAAGTCATTGAATGCCGTCATTCTAAGGATGGGACTTTGGCCCGCGGAGTGTTATTCTGCATTCATTCACAAATCGAGATCTCCAACCAGACTTGTCACCTAAACGAAGTAATGAAGAGGTGTGGAGTAAAGAAACAAACAAACAAGAAAAGGAATAAACGAAGCTCAAAATATCTGCCCGGAGTTTTCCAGTCCAGAGGGAAAAGTGGGTCTCCCTTCCCTCCCCCCACCAAATTGCCTCACAATGTTGATGCAGGAGGAACCCAGGGCTCTGGAGACACAGGGGCTGCCTCGCTTATGGCCACCTTAGCTCCATAGTATATGGTCCCCTGAGCCCCTCTGGGGAAGACCCCCAAACACAGAGTTGGGAGTGACTGCTGAGAAATGATGGATGAGACCTAAACACGCGTGCGCGTGCGCGCGCGCGCACACGCACACACACATCATCACACTCCCCCAATACACACACACACACACACACACACACACACACACACTTCCCCACTACATCACACTCCCCTAACACGCGCACACACGAAGGAAAACAGGAGCAGGAGACAAAGTACTCAAATTTCTCTTGCAGGTGGCAGACCCAGATTTGACCCCAAGCACCACCAGGAGTGACCCTTGAGCACCGCCAGGACTAAAACCTGAGCACAAAACTCGGGTGTGCTCATAAAATAAAATAAATAAACCACTCACATTAAAAAAAGAAAAAACAGGGGCGGGAGCGATCGTACAACGGGGAAGGTGTTTGCCTTGTTCGGGATGGACCGGGGTTCCATTGCCGGCATCCCATCTGGTCCCCTAAGCACCGTCAGGAGTAATTCCTGAGTGCAGAGCCAGGAGTGACCCCTGAGCATCACTGGGTGTGATCCTAAATGCCGAGAGAGAGAGAGAGAGAGAGAGAGAGAGAGAGAGAGAGAGAAGAGAAATGAACGTGGGTTGAGCCTTGAGTGTTGCTGTACAGTCTAATCTTGGTAGTTTACCGGTCCCTGGGCTTCATTTCCTAATAAACCAAAAGTTGATAAGCAGGTGGAGTGATAACATAGCCGGTAAGGAGTTTGCCTTGCACGCGAGCCACTGGACCACCAACCCCGAGTTCGATTCTTCCGCCCCTCTCGGAGAGCCCGGCAAGCTACCGAGAGTATCTCTCCTGCAGAGCAAAGCCAGGCAAGCTCCCGTGATGTATCCAATATGCCAAAAAAAAAGTAACAACAAGTCTCACAATGGAAACAGTTACCTGCCCGCTGGAGCAAATGATGAACAACCAGAGGACAGTGCTACAGTCAGTGATAAGCAGGTGGCCTGGAGGAAACCAATGCAAAATCGCTGCCCCAGACCAGGTTGCCCCAGACCAGCAGCTGGGCGCCCCTCCGGCCCCCGCCACCCCCGCGGCTCCTACCTCGGTCCGGGAGGACGCGGAGCACGTTCCCCCGGACGCGCAGCGCGGGGATGTAGCACGTGTCCGGGGTCGCGCCCGCCTCCTGCTCCCGCAGCATCTTCCGCAGGACCGGGGGCAGCGGCTGCAGCCGCGCCGGGGTGGGCGCCCGGCCCAGGCCCAGGGACTGAAGGAACACGGAGTCCTGGAACTGGACGGCCCGGCTCCAGGGCACAGCGAAGAGGAGGAGGCCGAGGGGCAGCAGCGGAGGAAGCATGGCCGGGCACCGGGACGGGGACCCCGACCCCCACTGCGAGGCCCCCGGCCAGGCGCCGCCTCTCTCCGCTGTCCGGGAAGCAAGTGCCAATCGCTGCTGGCCCCGCGCCCTCCGGGGCGGCTGGAGGGGAGAGGAGTGGGTTCCCTCTCTCCCCCTCTCTCCCCTTCCTCCCCCTCTCTCTCCCTCTCCCTGCCTTCCTCTCCCTCCTCCTCTCTCCATCTCCCTCTTTCTCACCCTCTTTCCTCTCTCTTCCTCTCCCTCTCTTTCTCTTCCTCTTTTTCCCTCACCCTCCCTCTCTCTCACTCTCCTCCTGTCTCTCCCTCTCTCCCCCTTCCTCCCTCTCTCTCCCTCTCCCCCTCTCTTCTTCTCCCTGTCTCTCTCACTCTCTTCCTCTCTCCACATCCCTCTTTCTCTCCCTCTCTCTCTCTCCTTCCTCTCTCTCCCTCACCCTCCCTCTCTCACTCTCTTCTTCTCTCCCTCTCTCCTCTCTCTCCCCCTCTCTCTCTCCCCCTCCCTCTCCCCTCCCTGTCTCTCACTCTCTTCCTCTCTCCATCTCCCTCTTACCCCTCTCTCACTCTCTTCCCCCTCCCTCCTTCTCTCCCTTTCTCTCCTCCCTTCTGCCTCCCTCTCTTCCTCTACCTCTCTCTCTCTCTCTTTCTCTCTCTCTCTCTCTTTCCTGGATGTGAAAAGATGGGGAATTCTCTCTTCCTCTCTCTCTTCTTTTTCTTCCTCTCTCTCTCTCTCTCTCTCTTTCTCCTGAATGTGAAAAAGACAGCAAATTCTCTCTCTCTTTCTCTCTATTGAATGTAAAAAAGACATGTAAAAAAATGGTGAATTCTCTCTGACTCCACCCCCCCCCCCCTCCGGGATCTGCACTCAGGAATTCTGCAGAGCTCTGGGGACCATATGACATGCCGGGGATCCAACCTGGGAAGGCTTCGTGCAAGGCAAACACCCTCCCTGCTGGACTATCTGGCCCCTTTTCTCTATATAGTATTTTTTTTTTTTTGCTTTTTGGGGGTCACACCTGGCAATGCTCAGGGGCTCCTCCTGGCTCTGAACTTAGAAATTACTCCTGGCAGTGCTCGGGGGACCCTATTGGATGGTTGCAAACACCCTCCCCACTGAACTGTCGCTCTGGCCCTCTATATATGTAGTCTTTAGCCTAGCATTTAAGAACCTTGGAGAGCCAGAGAGTTAGTACAGGGGTTAACTTCATATCCTGAGTATGGTTAAACCAGCATTCAATCTTCAGCACCACTAGAAGTGCCTCCTGAGCATCCCTGGGTGTAGCCAAATGCCACCCCAGCCAATGAGGAAAATGTTTGAATATTTGAGTGATGGAGCCATAGCAATGTTAGGGGACTTGCCTTGTATGCAGTGACCCAGATTTGATCCTTCACACCCCTTATGGTCCTGAGTCCACCAGGAGGGATCCCTGAGCACCACTGGGTACCCGCAGCAAAAAGACTGAATTTATATGCACATATATAGATCATGATCACGACCATCCTGTTATTCATCAATTGCCTCGAGCAGGCCCCAGTAACGTCTCCTTCGTCCTAGCCCTGAGATTTTTAAAGAAGTGCCATATCCAAGGCTCTTTCAGGGTTAGGAGAATGAGACCCATCATTATTACTGGTATTTGGCATATTGGTTACACCACGGAGAGTTTGCCAGACTCTGCCATGTGGGCAGGTTACATTTGGTAGCCTGCCAGCACATATATAGAATATATATTAATTCAGTCCTTTTTTTTGGGGGGGGGCATTGAGTCACACCTGGCGATGCTCAGGGGTTACTCGTGGCTCTGCACTCAGGAATTACCCCTGGCGGTGCTCAGGGGACCATATGGGATGCTGGGAACCGAACCCAGGTCGGGCTGCGTGCAAGGCAAACGCCCTACCCGCTGTGCTATCACTCCAGTCCCTTTTTAAAGTCTTTATACAGATATGTATGTGATGCAAATGAGGCAGAATCAGCAGAGGTAGGTCAGTCTCTATGTTCAGACGCGATTTCCAGATTTCAATTATTTTCTAGAATGAAAATAATGAATAATAAAAGATGCTCAGACTCAGAGTTGGAAAGTAGAAAAGTTTATTGGAAAGTAGAAGAGAAAAGAAAGAAGCTCCCCAAGTGGGGAGGAACTTAGTATAGGACTGAGATAAAAGGGAGTTTTGCATGTGCCCTTTTAAAGACTCCTGGAATTCCTTATTACTTGACAAGGATTTACAAAAGATGCCAGCAAATTGCAAGGATGTCTGGCTGGTCTAAATCTCTCTGTGTAAATTTGCCCATTATTATTATTATTATTATTATTATTATTATTAATGGGCAAAGAGTCTCCTGCCCCCGCGCCTGGCTGTCCTCACCGGGGCCCCTTGGAGGGGGGAGGGTTGAGTTTCTCTCCCCCCTCCTTGCCCAGAGCAGAGCTCCAGCAGCTGAGGACCTCCGGAGCCAGCCACGGCCATGCTGGGACCACTCTCCACATGTCCGGACGGGCCTCATGCATGAAAGAACTGGCAGAGGAACCCAGGCATGTGGGTCCTGGGGCTGAGGTCTCCAAGCCTACTCGGATTGGGACTGGGCCTTCTCCACCCAGACCCCCCTCATCTTCCAGTAGGTAGGTGTCACACCCATCAGCTGCCGCCAGTGCCAAGTTGGTCCCATCAATGGTCAAGGCACAGAGACTATAAAACTCAGCTCCCGGAAGTGCGCGGCTGCATTTGCCGCCACGTGACATCTTATTTTTTCCTTTGGAGAACCTGGCAGGCACCAAAAGTATCCTGCCTGCATGGCAGAGTCTGGCAAACTCCCCGTGGCGTACTCAATATGCCAAATACCAGTAACAATCATGGGTCTCATTCTCCTAATCCTGAAAGAGCATTGAAATGGCTCTTTTAAAATCTCAGGGCTAGGAAGAAGGAGACTTCACTGGTGCCTGCTCGAGAAAATCGACGAACAATAGGATGATCATGATCGTGATTATTATTATTATTATTATTACTATTTTGCATCACACCTGGCAATGCACAGGGGTTACTCCTGGCTCTGCGCTCAGGAATTACTCCTGGTAGTGCTCGGGGGACCCTATGGGATAATGGGAATTGAACATGGGTCTGCTGTGTGCAAGGCAAACGCCCTACCCGCTGTGTTATCGCTCCAGCCCCTGCCCGTTATCTTAGTCTCCCTGTTGGCCTAGGTTCCAGGAGAGAGTCTTATGGTCCCAGAAATCTCTGACCACTGGGGAAGGACTTTGGGAATGAAAGGTGTCAGGTCAGTGGGAGAAAGGTGGCAAGGGGAAACTGAGGCTTCCTTCTCTACTGGCAAGGGGAAACCAATCTTCCAGGCCTAACTGCCAATGATCTGTTTCCCCGGCAGCCTAGATTTCAGGATTGCCCGTTATCTTGGTTTCCCTGGCAGTTTAGTGTTCAGGGCAGAATTTTTTTTTTCTCTTTTTTTGGGTCACACCTGGCGATGCACAGGGGTACTCCTGGCTCTGCACTCAGGAGTTACTCCTGGTGGTGCTCAAGGGACCATATGGGATGCTGGGAATTGAACTCAGGTCAGCCGCGTGCAAGGCAAACGCCCTACCCGATGTGCTATCTCTCCAGCCCCCAGGGCAGAATTTTATATTCCTGGGAAGCCCCAGGAATGCAGAGAGAGAACCTTGGGTCTGGAGTGTGTGTCACGTAGATGGGGGAGAGATGGAACATCTGGAGTGAAGAAACTGGCTTTCTCTTTCTCTCTCACTGGCAAGGGGAAGCTGAGCGTGCGTGCGTGCGTGCGTGCGCGCATGCGGTGCTAGTGCTGGGGGGGGGGGGAGAGAGAGAGAAAGAGTTTTTCTAGTCAGGTGATTCTAATTTCATTGTCTACTCCCTCCTGAGTATCATGTTCTAAGAATCCTTCTGGAGTACGGGTCATACGAGCATCAGGTGCTAGTCTTGGTTCTTTGCTCAGAAACCATTGCAGGGGCTGGAGCAATAACACAGCGAGTAGGGCGTTTGCTTTGCATGTGGCCGACCCGGGTTTGAGTCCCAGCATCTCATATGGTCCCCCGAGCACCGCCAGGAGTAATTTCTGAGTGCATGAGCCAGGAGTAACCCCTGAGCATCGCCGGGTATGACCCAAAAAGCAAAAAAAAAAAAAAAGGAAAACAAACAAACAAAAAAACCACTGCAGTGCCAAGGACAAAACCAGAGTAGGATGTATGCAAGGCAAGAGCCACCCTGCATATTATCTCTCCAGTCCCCCCACTATCCCAACACTGCCCTAAATTGACCTAGTAATACTTCTTGGTTGTTTTCGTTTGGGGCAACATCTGGTGATGCTCAGGGATCACTCCTGGTGGTGCTCAGGAAACCCTACGGGGTGCGGAGGGTTGAGGTCAGGCTGGCCATAGCAAGGCAAGTGTCCTTTCTTCTATACTGGGACTTGGCCCAGGGGCTCCCACCTCAGGGACTCACACAGCACTAACCAATGGCCTCCTTGCTGCACCGGAAGGATTTCCATGTCACCTTTTTCACCGTCCTGTAGCATGCCTTGTGGGAAGGATTAGCACAGCTGTACTTCCGGCTGTGAGGTCTGCAACCCTCAACAGCACACACCTTGGAAATGGGAACCTTGTCTCCATCCCCTGCACCCCCCGCCCCCAAGAAAAAGAATGCTGGATCAGAGCGATAGTACAGTGGATAGGGTATTTGCCTTGCACGCGGCCAACCCGGGTTCGATCCCCAGCATCCATATGGTCCCCTGAGCACCACCAGGAATAATTCCTGAGTTCAGAGGCAGGAGTAAGCCCTGATCACCAGGTGTGACCCCAAAATTTAAAAAAAAATGCTAAAAATATATATATTTTTAATGCTATGTGCATTGTGCCACATTTTAAATTTTTTGTTTTGTTTTGAGGACCACACCCAGCTTACTCTTGGCCCTGCACTCAGGAATCATTTCAGGTGGGGTTCAGGGGAACCGTATGGGGGGCCAAGGGATTAAACCCA